ATACGATTGGGATTTGGTTGTGTACTTAGACCTCCTTGAGCGGAGGGCCAAAATATTGCCTAGAAAGGAATTTCAAATCAATTTATCGATAAAATATTAAATGTGCGGTAACGGAAACAGAAACAGTGGGCCCGGGAGCTCAAGGTGGTCTGAGCGCTGAGATAACCCATCGTTCTGAAAGACTGAAACTGGTGAGCCATGACGTCGATGGCCGAAGGAAGCGATTGCCTGTCTAGGCGCATGACGACGTGGATGAGGCAGGAAAAGGAATCGTCGCCCTCTTTGTCGCCAACAGAGGGCCAAGAATGTAACGAGTGAGGAACACGATTGGCATCAAGACATCATCGTTTTTAGGGGGAAGAAAAAGAGGAGAGACAGAAGTAGAAGTATTGGTGCTTACCCTTTGTGTTCTGTTCCTGTTTTGGTTTTTTCCTCTCCGTTCGTTTTAATTCTTGACTTTCCCTCCTGTCTGTGTCATCCCATCTCCCCGGAAAACCAAAACATCCAATTCAACGCCGCATGCCCGATCCTCCACCCGGCCTCTCGGCGTAACCGTTTGCTTATTCCGACAAAGGGCCTATATCGACGTCATTGTTTAACCAAGTTACTATACCGAAATCCTACAGAGTAAGCTTACTCTAACACGCAACACTTCATCGTACAAAACCAATCGTCAAGTAGAATCCAGAAGATCAAACATCACCTTAGGATTCCAAGACTTCACAGCCTCAATCGTCAGTGGACCATCGTCCGACCGGGTACTCCACAGTTCCCGACATCCGATACCTACTTTGACTTTGGTTTTAATAACCATACATAAGCCATGGCCTCAACTACTGCGCTTACGCAAACAGCGCTCGTCCCTCCTCCAAGTAAGTCTCAGGTGCTGCATGTCAGTTGGGCACAACACCCGGACACCTCGTCTTCAACATAGTATCTGCTACGACCTGAATCTCAAACCATCACCGCTGGGGTACCTTACTGATCGTATTGTAAAGACAACACTGGAAGGTTACGATACGCAGACGCCAAAGACCTACCCAGCTACCCATCTTCCGGTCTCAAAAACAACGACGCAGCTGCCAGTGCCGCCGCATCCGTGGGATGGGCTAACAGGACATCGGTCGAATACCCAAAACCAGAGATATCAACAGCTCCCGCGTCTTCAGCTGCGACTCTGGGATGGAACAACACCAAAGTAGTTGAACATCCCAAGGCCGAGTTATCAAAGACACACGCTTCGCACGCCAATACCGCTGCGGTGCTGGCTAACGGCCAAAAGATGGCGTCACCAACAAGTACCGGGTTGGAGGTCTCGCAACCCAAGAGCAATGCGGCAGGGTCACAAGCAGCCATCTCAGCGTTACGTGCAGCTCAAAGACAGCAAAAGCAGATATTCCAACAGAAGCAACAGCAACAAGCCCAACATCAACAGCCTAAGCCTGCCTTGGATACCTCAACATGGGGCAACTCGGCAGCGAATTTGGCCTTCAAGGGACACAAATCACCTACTACCTCCTCTACCCCAACTGTTCAAGAAACACAAGGTTCCGCCTTGACACGACAAGCATCACTGCGCGCAGCAAGGGATGCCGTGGCCGGGCGACGCCCGCGATCGAGGTCGCAACCCCAGCCCACAACCGACAACACCGCGTATCCCGATAAAGAAAACGCAGCCTCCAATGCCCTCAGCGCCGCGACCAAGTCGATGCGCCCGCACAGTATCCGTTCGACCGACGAAGCCGGTGCCGTACCCTACACGACCATGAGCAGACAGATGTTCACGTCCCGACCCCCTGTCAAGCCCGAAGTCGACGAGAAGAGCCGGCAAGACGTTCTCCAAGCTTCCGCTTTGGCCATGGCCAAGCGCATGTACACCCAGCAGCAAAAGATGATTGACCAGTCCAAGCAGGTCCAAGGACGCAGGTCCTCGTTTGAGCGCCACGGCACCGGCGACCCAACAGCCAACAACGACGATGTGGAACGCACTCCAGCAGTCTACAACAGCCTCCAAGACGCCGCCTACCGTCTCGCACAGGAACGTCTCGCCAAGCTGCACGACGAACACCAAAAGAACCGCGAGATGCAGGAGTACTACACGGGCGTCCCCCCCTCCTCCACCCAGGTCAACAACGCAGGCGCATTCGGTACTATCCGTAACAAACTCACCAGACGTCGGTCCTCTAGTGACGGCGACATCGTTGTTAATGATCGTCAGCGCTCCCAGCACATCCGCAAGCAAATGTCCCTCTTCAACACCAAGATCGCCGAAGTCGACGAGCAGAAGCGGGCGCGCGACCGCGAAGCGCTTCTGCAAGCCGCCCAGCGCAACGTCAAGGCGCGGTTGCAGGGGATGGACGAGAAGCTGTATGCCGAAAAGGGGGTGATGATTCCGCACACGAGCAAGAGCCATTGGGAAGTGAAGTCACACGCGGCGGCGCAGGCGAGGTTTGATGCGAGCAATAGCCGGAGGCCGATGGATGCGGACCAAACGGACATAGGCGGAGGCAAGATGGTAGACAGGGCCGAGGTGGAGGTTATCGCGGCGAAGAGGGTGCAGCCGTTGCTGGATGAGATGAATGATCATGCGGAGAGGGAGAGGGAGAGGAGGGCCGCGCTGAAAATGGAGGAGGAGAGGAAAAGGGAGGAGACGGAGAAGAATAAGATGAGGGAGAGGGAGGTGCAGATGTTGCATAAGCAGTTGAAAGGTATGTTTCTGCGTTCCCTGGTGATATCAGGAGTATGAGGCTAATACAAATTCTTAACAGATCAGCAAAAGGATAAGGAGAAGGCGCTGGCGGCGGAAGTCAAGAGGGAAGAAAGGCAGCGAAAGGAGGAAGAGAAGGCGGCTAAGGCTGAGCAGAAGCGACTGGCTAAGGAGGCCAAGGAGGAAAAGCAGGTCGACAAGGGGAAGGGACTCGCCGTGGCTGCTGACTTTGACCAAAGCTCGCCGGACGAAAAGCCAACGGCCCCTCCACTGAACATGGTTGCACATAGGACAGACAGTTCGGGACTGACCAGGTTGACCATGCCGTTCCAAAGACGCGTATCGCCTCCTCAGAGGGGCTCAACAACACCAGACGGGGGAGGGAGTCCCATTTTGGAACCCCAATCGGCAGCCTCCCCAACTAGTAAAGTGAGGGCCTGGCTAAAGAACCGCTTCTCCCGTCCCAGAGCGGCATCCGGCGCATATGTCGCTTCGTCGAGAATCGATACAACGGGGGAGGGAGCCGCCGACGCTGCTAGCCCGGACATGGACAGGGGCTTCATCGGGGGCGTAGCCCTCACTCGGAAGCTTGGGGATACTAACGCAAGTGTCCCCTCCATCGTCGGAGATGACCACAGCGGACCGGGAAGTATCCGCGAAGTCGCTCTCGCCGGGCTCTCAGCGCCCACTACCATCCAGGGGTCGACGACAATGACGCCAGCTATTAACCTCCCAGCAGCGGCGCAAGACGAACCCGGTGAGAGCAGTGGCCTTGCCACCGTCACTGGTAACTCCTCCCTAGGAACCGCCGCCTTGAAGCCTTCCTCTCGCCCCATCAGCACCATCGGCGGCTTCGACGCCGTGGCTTCAGTCACCACTACCACCACTACTACTACCACCGAACCCACAGCCCGCGACCATCCTCCCTCTCTATCATTTCAGACCCAACAGCCACAGCCACAGCTCATCCTCCCCTACGTTACCACAACCATCACCGCCAACCCAGCCGAAGGCGAAGCAGGCGAAACCAACTCCGTCAGCAGTCTGAGTAGCTCAAATCTAAGCGATAGCGTCTACAGCAGCGTAAGCGATAACAGCGCTTCACCTCTCCCCGCTCAATACCAAGACCTCAACAACGAGAATGATGATGAGTTCCTAGAAGCAAGAAGTACCTTCTCCAGCGACGGCCCGCTTACACCACCATCTGCCGGGTTCCCTTCGATGATGAACGGGATGAAAGTGGCCATCACGCAACCTACTCCCGCTGTTAACAGCGAGGAAAAGCACACGCAGTTCTTGATGGCTTCTGACCCTAGAGCTAGTTCTAGTACCGGAAATGGTTCTGGTACTGGGCTGGGGGCGGCCGGGAGTATGAGTGGGAGGAGTTTGGGGTCTGGTGAGAGGCCGGTGAGTTCGGGCGGGTTGAGTGTGGGGAGTCAGTCGATCAGTGGGTGTGGGAGGATTAGTCCGTTTAGGGAGAGTAGGTTTTCGGAGAACTTTAATAAGGAGGATATGTAAGGGACTGGGTTTTTTTTTTTTTTTTTTTTTTTTTTTTTTTTTCTTCTTCTTCTTCTTCTTCTTTTTGTGGAGTGGTGAACTGGATTTGGATGGTTGATACCTTTGATGCCCTTTTAGGGGCGTCCGGATGGATGGATTGACGGATGGGTGGGCAATGAGAATGAATGATTGATGAATGTTTTTCTTTCCTTGTCTCCTGAATTATATACCTAAAACTCCCTGTTCTGGTGGACTTTGCTCTGGTTTTTGTACCAATAATTCCTTTGACGAATTTGATGATCCTTTTCCTACCTCTACCTGTCTTCTCTCCTAGCTGTAATAGTCTTCATGAACGATGATGTTATTTCATACTCGGTCCTTAACCAAGCCAGAATTGTGAGATGTCCCGTTAATTCTAATCTAGTGCCAATACGAACTCGTAACATCGCGAGTCCGAGCGAAGAGAGACTGAGAGTGATGTTACAAGCCCCAACGCTGTGTTTCTGTTTGCTGATGATCCTCCACGTTGTCCCCATCCTACACGGGAGCCCACATCTCCACAACATTCCCACTCCCTCTTACTGCTGCCTGAGGGTAGAAGTTGTTTGCGCACCTTGCTGGCCACCTACCGACAACTGTTTCATTCCTTTCCTTTCAGCATCTCCACCTCAAACAGCCACATGCCTGCCTGCCTGCCACGTACCTTCCCAGCCGTACCTTCTCAGCCACAAACGCAACATCCCCTTCATAAGCAATCCTCGGGGGACTGTTTTTAAACGAAGAGAGATAAAAAATAACCCTACTGGTGTATCGGTTAACATGGCGGATTCTCATTCTTTGCGATGAAGTTTCCGCAGCGCAGGGTTCAACTCCCTGGTGGGGTATTCTTTTGGCCCTTTTTTCTTTTTCTTTTTTTCTTTTCTCGTCTTGTTTTTTGTAGCGGAACTTGCTTCTTCTTAAAGGGGGGTCCTGCCATGGGGAATTCGCGGGATGGTCTTTTCGGACTCGACGGGATTCATGTGATAACGAAACCTACAGGTTGTTCACCAAGGCAACTTAAGTCCATTTAGCATTCTCGTCAATCTTTCCCGAGACCGTGACATCGACCCTGAGATGTAGTTCCTGGTGTTGAGGGTCATGGTACTTGCATGTTTGCAGTACCTACCTACCTAGAGGTATACAAGGAACTCTAGATGGCTAGGTTATTAATATTTGGAGGGACAATGTCCGAGTGGTGTGTTGGAGCACACGTTCCGTCCTTCTTGAGGATCGCAAGGTGCAGGGTGCGTTAGTGGGAGGGCGCCCGTGGCTCGCTATGGAGGCGCTGTCCACTAACGATATGTACGCTTGTGATGCGCCCGTATCGGTAAGGTCCCCGATTCGAATCCTGGCTCGGCCTAGTTCCTTCATTTCATTCTTTTTTCTTTGTTTCTTCCTTCTTTTTTTCCCCTGGATTCAACCAGCCCAGTCAGTCAGTCACTGTGATGTGGGAGGTAGGACGGACATGTCACGGAATCACCACCGTCTCGGTAAGAAGACGTGACATGACAAGACGAGGAGGCTTTTGTAAAAGCTCGATATTAGAGAACCCATTTATCGGCATCCCGAATCTAGTAGGTAGTACCAATACTTTAAAGCCACTCTAGAGCCACTTACTAACCAAGTGCGCCTCAATATCCATGTGCGGTAGAAAAGTACCGGTGGCGGAAGCTCTTTCTCGCATGTGACAGCCTTCTAGAAAGCCCAGATGCAACATGAGAGGCTGTTGTGGATCTCGTGAGGTCCTGAATCCCGATGGAACACTGGGAAGGAAAATAGGCCGCGGAGTCCCGGAGCGGGGAGTGAACTTGGGGAGAAAACCGTCTTGTTGGACATATTAGTCACGGAATGGCTCTTGTGTATGTCAAAAGCAAATTCAGCGTAGAATAACCAATGCTGAGTAAACCGTCGAGGAGTGTCGTTCTCAATCTCAGCCCTACGAGAGACGGGACGGATCACGGATGTCGTCTGGGTGTGGGGAAGAAAAGGGATCCGCAATCCGATGTTTATGGGGCCAGGATAGAGAGGCGCACGGACCACCATGCTACACTGTCGCCCACCACCGTAGATATTTCAGCACCTCGGGTCCGTTGTTCCCCTCTTCCCCAAGCAACTGCATCTTCAAAGCTGACAAGGCGTCCATCCGGGTCGAAAAATGAATATCACAACATAGCCTCAAACCACGCCGAATATGCGGTGATGAGACGATAATCGTCTTGTTTCCGACCTTCCTCACAAGACCTCGCCATTTGAAACGCCCCCCTTTCTTCCACATTCGTGTTGCTCAACTTGAAAAAGGCTCAACCATTCCTTTCGCTCGTTCGCCTCCTATATTGTCACTCCCCATCACCGTCACACACACACGCATACTGCCATCTAACTTTAGAGACAATGCTGTCAGCTCTGCATGATCACCCTCTTCTCAACTCCGACTTCAAGGCCCGGCCTCGAACATGCGTGGTTACTGCGGGAATAGCAAACCGACCGTCTAGAATTGGAGCACAACAACGAGTCCGAACTGCATACCCACAGCTGTACAACACGCGCTCCCGTCTTCTTCCGAGTGTCGTCCTTCAGTGCAAGCAAGCCCCCGGCCCGATTACCTACAACGATGGCGCCACACAGGAGAAGAGAAAGAGAGGCCCAACTACGACTACGACTACGATGAGAGAAGTCTCGGTGCATATCACAGATATCACACACTGCTGACGGCATTATCGGTATGCATTTCAGTCTTACTAACGGTCGATAGTGTCCACCTGCGTTACCTTACTTCAGCTGTTGCCCTGTCAAAGTGAAAGGAACGTTTGATCCGGTGTCAATAATTGAACCCAAACCTGCCCTATTCGGTATTGGCACCCATCCACCACTTCGGCCCTTATCTGTCATGGCAGCTTTCATCGGTAGTTGTGTGGCGCTCCCTGTATGGACACATCTGGAGTTACATCAGGACATCTGCTTCGGGCCATGCCAATGCGGCTGGAAAAAATATCCAAAAAAGATTCCTCTTATCGGCAGTCCAAGTGTTAATGGTGGTGAGACCAATCAACAGCCGCCGTCGTAATGGGCGCTCCTTTGTTGTTGTTCGGCTCGGCATCTCGGCTGAGCTTGGCGTTACGATGAGGTGGGTGGTGATGGTGGTTGAACTATCTACAATATCAACAGGGTCGTTCTCTCGCTTGCGACCGCTATAAAAGGGAAAAAAACAAAACGATGTGATCACAACAAGGAGAGAGTCACCACTACCACCTTGACCCACCCCGTGTCGATTACACAGCAGGCAGCTCTGCACTTCTCACTCGCCTTAAACCCATTCAGCTGCACATGCCCGCCATGCAGTCATTATTCATGATAATACGAAGTTCTGAAGAGCGACAAGGTCCTCCCAAGAACCAATCAGGGACCGCCTGAGATCCTGGACAGAAGACGTTGTGTGTGTGTGTCGATGGAAAGCCGATGCGGGGGTCAGCCAATTCCCAGCCAGCGTTGCGATTCCCCGGGTCCATGTCGCAAGCCTTGTCCTGTGTCTTGTACCATATTCGCCTTGTGATCCCCTCTTACAGGTGAAAATAGGTCGCAGTGCGCAATCATGGACGCATGTTATAGAAGAGTCCCTCTCTCTCTCTTCGAGTGAAGAAGGAGGACTGTTATCTACCTGCTGCTGTCCGTTCAGCTGGCTTGCATAAGATCCTGTCCCTTCCCTGGTTGTGTCGATACGAGGCGCATAACATCCCGATACTACATCTTCCTACCTTTTCTCATTGCTTTCTTTGCAGACGCCTCAAAGCCAAAGCAGTCATCACTCGTTATATCCACAGTCAAGCTGCAACAGTTCAGCTGGGCCACATTCCCTTCCGACCAGCAAATTCTCGACCGTTGTTGTCGTACATCGGTACTGCTGCTGCCAGATCTGATGCCCTGAACCGCTTCCCGATCCCGCGCAACCCTCACAGACGCCGCATCCGCCGGTCATGAGATACTCATCATATCCCGCCCTGGCCGGCCTGCTCTCGCTGGCGGCCAGGACTGGAGCCGACCCAACATGGCCCGCCGCCACGGACGAGATGGAGGAGATAGTGTACCAACTTCAAGGGTTTAAGGGAAGGCTCTTTAACGATATCATTACGCCTTGCAACAATGAGGCTGCTGGACCTGGGAGGGTGACGGCCTCGGAGTGGTTGCGCGTGGGATTCCAGTATGTGTTATTTTCCTGATATTCAGTGAGAAGGGGAGACAACAAGTGAAAAGGCGGATTATGTGGAAGGAACAAGGTTGAAAGAAACCCCATGGAGATTATGAGACTTTGAACGCTTTGTTCAATCTCAATTCACGTGTGTGATCCACGCAAAATGCTAACTTCCCCAGCGACATGGCCACCCACAACCGCGTCTTCGGCACTGGCGGCCTCGACGCCTCGCTCCAATTCGAGCTCACAAACGGCGAGAACACCGGACCGGGCCACAACACCACCCTCAAGTTCTACGCCAACTACTACTCATCCCAATCGACCATGGCCGACCTGATTGCCGCCGGCGTCTACGCCTCAGTCCGATCTTGCGGGGGGCCCATCATCCCCCTTCGACTCGGGAGGAAAGACGCAACATCCAGTGGCAGCACGGGCGTGCCACAGCCCCAGAACTCGGCGGAGACGTTTAGGCAACAGTTCGACCGCATGGGATTCAGCACCGAGGAGATGATCCAGGTGACGGCTTGCGGACATACCCTCGGCGGTGTCCACACGGAAGAGTTTCCTGAGATTGTTCCCGCCGGTACTGGGACCAATGGTCAGAAGCCGCTTGATACTACCGATGCTACGTTCGATAACAAGGTGGTTACCGAATACATCTCTGGAACGACACAGAACCCGTTGGTGGTTGGGCCAGCTGTTGCGCTGAACAAACACTCGGACTTCAAGGTGTACAACATTGATGGGAATGCCACGATGAACGGGCTGACGTCGGCGACGACGTTCAGGGACGTCTGCAAGACTGTTCTTCAGAAGATGATTGATACTGTGCCCTCGGGGGTGACGCTGACGGATCCTATTGCTCCTTATGCGGTTAAGCCTGTCGATATGCAGTTAACGCTGAACTCAGGGGGTAGCAGTTTCCTCTTGACTGGGTACATCAGAGTTCGCACGACGAACCGGGCGTCTGGCGCCATCAAGAATGTCAAGATGACTTGGAAGGATAGAAACGGGGCTTGCGCTTCGGGGTCGTGCTCCTATACCGCCACCGTACAAGGAGCGGGTACCGGGTTCGATGATACTTTCGAGGTATGGTCCCTTTCCCACTCGGTCTCGAGCTCATGACAACTTACCAGAGAAATAGTTCTTCCCTATCTCAACCAACATCCCCGCCTCCTCAGGCATTTCGTCCTTCAAAGTCACCGTCAACCTCAACGACGGCACCAGCGAGTCCTACGACAACAACGGAAACTCATACCCCTTATCAGACGCCATAATCCTGCAAAAACCCCAGAGCTGTCTCCTCCAAAGCTCTGGTGCACTCACCGTTTCTGCACTTGTAAGCTTCCCCCTCCTCCTTCTTATCTTCAAGACTCGCCGCCGCTGACTAACACAATAGGTCCGGAACGACATCACCACCGCACCATCCCTAGGCATCTCCTACCTCACCCCCCGCGGCGTCGTCCGCAATGGCAACCCCGTCCCCATCCTCAGCAGCACCATCGTCGCCATGACCAAAGGCGACTGCGTCGGTCCTTACACCTTTTACTCTGCCAGCTACACCATCGCCGGTGGGCTGAGTTACGCCGCCAAGCTTAGCGTCACCGCAGGCTCCAACTCCGATAGCTTCAACAAGGCCAGCGATCTACCAGGCAGCTG